CACAAACACTCTTTTCCAACAACACAAGAGGCAAATCTACACATGGACATCACCAGATGGGCAATACTGAAATCAGATTGATTATGTTCTCTGCAGCCAAAGATGGAGAAGCTCTATACAGTCAGCAAAAACAAGACCTGGAGCTGATTGTGGCTCTGATCATCAGCTTCTTATAGCAAAATTCAAGCTTAAATTGAAGAAAGTAGGAAAAACCACTGGGCTAGTCAGGTATAATCTAAACCAAATCCCTTATGAATACACAGTGGAAGTGAGGAACAGATTTAGGGAACTAGATTTGGTGGGCAGAGTGCCTGAAGAACTATGGATGGAGGCTAGTAACGTTGTACAGGAGGCAGCAACAAAAACCATCCCAAAGAAAAGGAACTGCAGGAAAGCAAAGTGGCTGTCGGATGAGGCCTTACAAATAGCAAAGAAAAGGGAAACAAAATGCAAGGGAGATAGGGAAAGTTACAGAAAATTGAATGCAGACTTCCAAGAATAGCAAGAAGAGACAAGAGGGCCTTCTTAAATGAACAGTGCAAAGAAATAGAGGAAAATAATAGAAAAGGAAAAACCAGAGATCTGTTCAAGAAAACTGGAGATATTAAAGGAACATTTTGTGCAAAGATGGACTTGATAAAGGACAAAAATGGCAGGGACCTCATAGAAGCAGAAGACATCAAGAAGAGGTGGCAAGAATACACAGAGGAATTATACCAGAAAGATATGGATATCCTGGACAACCCAGATAGTGTGGTTGCTGACCTTGAGCCAGATATCCTGGAGAGTGAAGTCAAGTGGGCCTTAGAAAGCATGGCTAAAAACAAGGGCAGTGGAGGTGATGGCATTCCAGCCGAACTATTTAAAATCTTAAAAGATGACACTGTTAAGGTGCTACACTCAATATGCCAGCAAGTTTGGAAAACTCAGCAGTGGCCAGAGGATTGGAAAAGATCAGCCTACATCCCAATCCCAAAGAGGGCAGTGCCAAAGAATGCTCCAACCACCATACAATTGCACTCATTTCATACGCTAGCAAGGTTATGCTCAAAATCCTAGGCTTCAGCAGTATGTGGACCGAGAACACCCAGAAGTACAAGCTGGATTTTGAAGGGGCAGAAGAACCTGAGACCAAGTTGCTAACATGCGCTGGATTATGGAGAAAGCCAGTGAGTTCCAAAAAAACATCTACTTCTGCTGTAAAAATGTATATATTGAAAATAGTCCTGCAACTTTCCAATTGACTTTCATATATTTTCTTCTTTTTTATCATGTTAAACAGATCTATTCAACAGTTGTAAATGTGATTACCACTCTAATCCTATGCCCTAAAAACTTTATCCTATTCCTATGCTTCTAAAAGTGTCCATATTAATACATACACTATATTCTAAAAAGTAGCAGCCACATGCCAAAATGGTATTGTAACACATTCCAATGATAGCTCTCATTGCCATAACTTATTTCTTTTATGTATTTATTTATTTGACTTTTATACCACCTGTCTGGCTGCCAGATTTTCCGAAAACATAATTTTTTAAAACTTGAAACACAATGCTACAGAGTAGCAGAAAAGAGTTTTTACTCTTCCAACACCACCGATATGTATTTTAAAAAATGTGAGTTCAAAAGCATAGACGAACAAATTAAACCCAAGGAAAACAAAACAAAACCACAGTACCATGGGTAGCTGGTGTTGAGAAGCTACACTGTAATCGTCCATACCATGAGCTGGTGCAGTATGAACTAATCCTGTTCCTTTTGACATGGTTACATGGTTTGCAGGCAAAAGAGGGGACTGCTTTCCAGGAATGGTGGGATGTGAACAGATACCACTTTCCAAATCTACACCTGAAAAAAGCAAACAGAAAATATACCAAATCTAACCAGGAAAAAAACTGCCTTACCTATTCAAACAAAAGAACCGTAATACTGGATTGACTAGAGGAGGGCCCACAGCCAGTTCAGGGAACATATTTTTTTGAAAGACTATTTCTGACAGAAGGTTTTTATACAAACTGCTGACAAGCATCATCTCAAAGAAGTGTGCTTCTGAATGCCTTCAGATTACGTCCACTAAGACGCAGAAGCAAAATCTAATATGCTAAAACCAAAACCTAATGGGGGATGATCTCCCCTTCCTGCTGACCCACCCAAAGCCTGCTTTGAAGAACTGGGAAACTTTCCAGAGCCAGCTTTTTGGGCTTTGTCAAAGGCTACAGCAAGAAAGGGAAGAAACTGTTGTGTTGCTGTTTTGGCACCAAGACAATATCAGATTTAGTCCACAGACTCCACTGTTTTTACTGTTATGAAAAATAAATTCAGTAAAATAGCATTGCTGTCCTATGCTATTCTCTGGCAAAAGGTTGAACTCTCTACCAGAATCTTAACGAAATGTATTTGATAAAACTGAAAAGATAAATGGATAGACAAGTAGTTCCAGCAAAAAAATAAAATAAAATAAGGCTGAGAAGATGAGAAAGTATCTAGAGCTTGACAACAGCAGCTTGAATGGGGCCCAATAACATTCTTCATATAAATGTATGAAAGAAAGCAGGGCACAAATCATACAACCTCCGGTATCTATATATTAGTGCCAGAAGTATGAGAAACAAACAAAAAGAACTGGGAATTTTAATTCAGGAGTGTAATCAAATTAAATCAAAACCATTTAATCTGCAAATGATAATCTAGTATTTAATGGCCAAAATCAGTTGCATAGTTAGGCTGACAGAAGCAAATGGGTACGCCCTGCAGTGACAAATTGTCACTAATTAACAATTCCCCACTTGGATTCCTGGTCATGTGTCTCACACATGGTACTCAGAAATTTTTACCTTTAAATGTTGAAATTACATCAAACTGTGTATCCAAAACAGCTGCTGTAGACTGAACTCTGTCTGAATGTAGAATAAAGTGTTCCCCAGTATTTCCACACTTCACAATGGAGTACCTACAATTTTGTTTACAGAAATAGATACATACTTATTTCAGTTGTTGTTTTTTTTAAATCTAGATCAACACTGCTGTATAAAACACTAAACTGAAACTTAGCACATCAAAAACTCCTCATAACAATACTTGTGACCTACTGGTAATGACTATGGAAAATTCTGCTATCAAGGTGTAAAAGGTAATATGATATTAATGCATTTTCATACAACTCATTATTATGATGGTGAGAAAAAACAGAAAATGTACTTTTACTTTTTCAAATCATGCCCTTAATCATGCTTTCTCAGGAAATATTTACTAAATCATTTAAGTCGTCTAATTTTACTTTAAAGGAACACAATTATGTTACTAAATGTCTTCCAAATTCCAGCTATGGCTGAAATCTTATTCTGTCAACTTACACCGCATAAGGCTGATGAAGCAAACAATTTAACTGATTCTCTCTCATCTCTATTTCTGTCCCCATATCAACTCTGGAGTATTGGGAGAATCTCCAGAACAATGTGGACAGTGGTTCTGTGGAAACCGGAAACTGGCTAAAATCACATCTCTTCCTTATGTTAAACGTGGCTTCTGCAACATCAAAAACACTTCTATGAACTGGAAGCCAGTGAGTTATATAAGTTTCAAATATATTTGAACACACTTTTTCAAACCAAAAAGTAAAAATGTTCTCACAGAATAAAGCTAGGTAAGAATACCTCTCCCTGGTATTTTAATAGTCTAGGATCCAAGGAGGAAAGTACATGTGGCAAGAAATGATATACAAATCTCCTTCTTCAGATCCACTGACAACTATGTTTACTAGATGTTAATTTGGCCAAACCACTTAGAAAAGGCTGCAACCCTGAACGCAAGCATTTTGAAGGAAATCACATCAAACTGTGGTACTCATTTCTGGATGTGGATGCACAGGATTGGCCTGTATATGGAATAATGCAGCACAAATAACTACTTCAGCCCTAAACTTTAGAATCAATCACATAGATGTCATGCATCAGACATAAATTATGTGTAAATAAATACACACTCTGAATTTGGTATATAACAAACAGCTTCATTGGATGGAATAGTCCATGGTTGTGTTGTCCAAATTATCAAACTCACAGCCGGTAGTCCATCTAAACATGAAAATATACATAATTAGTATTTTTTCAAATACATCAGAATTACTGTATCAAAACCAGATATAAAAACATATAAAATATACACCTATCACTGCAGCCAGTTTGGGTGGTGGTTTCAACAAAGGAAATCTCACATAAACAGAACGACTAACATGTTGTTGGTTGTATTCAAGTTCAGCTTCAGCCAAGGCTGTACTGGAGGAAGAGGAAACATGAATTAGATATGTTAGCATATAAGTCTTCCACTCATTCTCACATTATTTCTTGAGGATAAAATAAGGCTGCTACTTACTTGGTTGAAGGAGACCAGAAAACTGGTTTATAGTCACGACAAACATAACCCTAAGTGAGAAACAGAGGACGGTAAGCAACACTGATAGGCTTCTCGCATGGCCTACATCTTGCACTACCAATGCTGACCCACCTTGTCATACATTTGTTGAAAAACTTTCAGTTGCTTTGCTTCATACTTCTTGTCAAATGTGTAGTAGCAGTTATCCCAGTCTGCCATAACGCCCCAGCGAATAAAGGATGATTTTTGTTTTTCAATGGCCTCTTCTGCAAATTTTTTGGCTGAAAAGAGATAACATTTTTTCCAGTTCCATTTCACCAAATACAAGGCAAACCCTGCAGCTAAGATACACCCTTCCCTCCATAGCTGAGGCTAAGGAACCTAGTACAGACTACAAATTATTTCAAAGAACGTTCAATGCTCAGCTTATTTCAGAGGCTTAGAATCAGAAGCATTTTTACTTTGCACCGGATACATCACTCTACTAAAGTAAAGATCTGTGAAAATTTTTAAATCTCTAATAGAGTAGACCTCTTAGTGATGAAAAGATGGGTCTGCTGTTTGTGAGACTAAAATTGGATTTGGTTCCTAGGCTTTAAGAGCCACCCAGGGAACACTAACAAAAGCAAATTGTATACAAGACCACCTATGGACAGACCTGAAAATATAGATCCAAACAAAATTTAATTTTGAACAAAGCAACTCCTTATTTTAATTTGCATCCTGTCACACATCTGGGTTAAGAGAAAATATGAGCAGTGGGATGCATGTGGCTTCCCAAGGATATTTTTGTGCCTCCTAACTACTCCAGAGACACACAGTAAAGGTAAAGGTTCCCCTTGTCAATTTTTGTCCAGTCGTGTTCGACTCTAGGGGGCGCTGCTCATCCCCGTTTCCAAGCCATAGAGCCAGTGTTTTGTCCGAAGACAATCTTCCATGGTCACATGGCCAGTGCGACTTAGACACGGAACGCTGTTACCTTCCCACCAAGGTGATCCCTATTGATCTACTTGGATTTGCATACTTTCGAACCGCTAGGTTGGCGGGAGCTGGGACAAGCGACAGGAGCTCACTCCGTCGTGTGGATTCGCTCTTACGACTGCTTGGTCTTCTGACCCTGCAGCACAGGCTTCTGCGGTTCAGCCCGCAGCGCCACCACATCAACCGAGACACACAGTAATAAAATAATAATAATAAAAAAGATTCAGGAAAACAATTGGTCAAAAATTAAATTAGGCTACTCCAAGAATCATGGTTGTTCCTTTATTGTGGTGGGGACAGTCCCCTCAATTCATGCAAAATTCAAAAAATCAAGATCAGGCACCTCCAGTTAGACAGTTGGGTGAACTGGAAACCTGGCTGCAAAGGCTGAGGCTGTTAGTTCAATGCTGCATTGTGCCTCCTGGGAGAGGAGCCAGCTTGTGTGGCCTGCTGAACTTGTTCATCCATATTCCATATTGAATCACACAGAGTACTTGCATATAGGTACAGTGGGGTCTCGACTTACGAACTTAATTGGTATTGGAAGGCAGTTCTCAGGTCGAAAAGTTCTTAAGTCGAATCTGCATTTCCCATAGGAATGCATTGAAAACCATTTAATCCGTATCTGCTCTTTTCGTCCATAGAAACTAATGGGAAGCTGCTATTCCGCCTTCTGCCACTAGAGGGGGATAATTTTTTCTTTTTTTCCTTTTGACCTAAGATGACTTAGCTTTTAAAAAAAGGGAAAAAAAGAGTTCGTAACTCGAATCTAAGTTCGTAAGTCGAGTCCATATATTCCTATGAGAGCGGTTCGTAAGTCGAAACGTTCGTATGTCGAGCTGTTCGTAAGTCGAGACCCCATTGTATACAAAAGCAACTGACAATACAAATGGGGACAACTGTATTGCCTTTTGTAACTCTGTTGGGTCATTCCATGTCAAATCAACCAATGAGTGACCCTGCAAGGACATGATACTCCTTTACAAACATATCAACGTTGCTTATCAAGAATTATGTGTAATAACCCAGCAGATATTCTGAAAGAAGAAGCCCAATCATTCCACTGGAACAACTCTATGGCAACTGTTCATCCCTTTGTTGTTTACTACAAGGAAAATGATCAACTAAGACATAACCTTTGTTGTTTACTACAAGGAAAATGATCAACTAAGACATAAGAGTTTTGTTTTCATCTCGGAATGTCTGAAACATGACACACATATTGTTCATGCTTTCCAAAGAAAACTTCTTAATGTTTTGAAACTTGAAAAAGATATTTTACTTTTCAGATGGTTCTGCAGCACTATACAAAAATTGTAAGAATTTTGCAAATTTGTGTAAATACCACACTGATTTCCAAGGCATTGAAGCAGAGCGGCATTTTATGCCATTGCACATGGCAAAGGAGTTTGTGATGATGTTGGAGGCACAGTGAAGAGACTTGCAGCAAAGGCCAGCCTTCAAAACTTCCACTCATGATAGCTTAACAGCTGCTGGAGTGAGGGAAGGCAAACATCCCTGCAAAAAGTTTTTTTTATATTACAAATGATGTATACCTGGAAGAGGAGAAATTTTTAAAAGTACGATTTGATCAAGCACTTCCTGTTACAGAAACTCAGAAGTGTCATGCCTTCCTCCCAGTATCAACTGAAAAATTAGAAACTAAAGCATGTTCAGCTTCTCATGATTCTGTTTTACATTGTATTAAAGTCACTCCCAAACTTCAATATGTAGATTTTGATCATTTGCATGGATTTGTGGCATGTGCCTATGACAACTCATGGTCGATGGGATGTGTTCTTTCAATGGATGCTGCAGAACATGAAGTCAAGCTATCATTCTTACATCCAACTGGACCAGCACCATCATTCTCTTATCCTAGGAAAATGGACGTTCTTACAGTCACAGGAAACTTCATCCTTTGCAAACTGGATCCAATTACAGCTACAGGTAACACATACCAGCTAAATTCGCAAGAGATGACAAAAGCATCCAACATGCTAGCCAGGAAAAAAGAGGTTCTTAATCATTAGATATAGAAATTTTGGTCTATTTTTGGGGCTAAGTCAATTTAAATCCTTGTCACTGCCAACAAGAACATTTAAGTTTTGTATGATAACAATGAGATACCAGCTTGAAATTTAGATTGACTGTCTACAAGACATGTATCTTTTAAGTGTGAATTTTTAAAAAAACTTTTTAAAAGTTCAATTTTCCCAAGAATGCAAATTTATTTTTTAATGTGCAGTTTTTTTCTGAAAATGTACAATTGCATCATGTTGTATATCAAATGAAAGCCCTACCCATAAGCCTTAAAATGGCACCTGTTCCAGGTCTGTAGCTATCATAGGTATCTATTAAATGGTATTTGAAGCTATGGTGGCTAGTTAATTTTGGCATTTTTTTGCAATTTCAAAAATGCAATATCTCAGAAACAGGTGCACAAAAAATCTGAAAAAAAATATTTTTTTTAAATATTGAAAGGTACAAATATACCAAAAATGAGCTAAATCCATGAAATCAAGGTTCCATGCACTGGTTGATTTGACATGGAATGACCCTATTGCTATTTATTTCTTCTGAATACCCAACTTTGTTTTACTTTATTTACATACAAATATGCTTGAACATTTTAGATATTAGATTATCTTTAAATCATGCATTTATAATCAAAGATAGTGCCTCCCAAATGCTTGAGAGTACACAGACTCTGGCCTGTTCACAAATAAGACAGGCCAGAATCTGTGTACTCTCAAGAATTTCACATATTAACTATGTACCTGCCTGTACATTAGATACATCTCTCAGAAAGTTAATGTACCTTTCTGTCGGATTTCAATTGGTGAAAGATCTTCCACGTCTTCACAATCTGAGAGTGCTCTCAACTCAATGGGCAACCCATGGCAATCCCAGCCAGGCACATAGTGCACCATACAGCCTCTCATCATTTGAAATCGGTTTGTGATATCTTTCAAAATCTGCAATGGAAGTCAAAGAACAAGAAAGATCATGTTTCCAGCTCGTTCTAACTTCCCATGGATCCTGCAACATTTACACTTAATGGGCTTCAGCAAGTATTGCTATAAGGCTCTTTGCACGTCCCTTCCTGGACTTACTTTTCAGTAGCATGTTGTTAAAATCATGTGACTAAATAATTCAGCTGGACAAAAGACAGAAATGTTAAAGTTTACTTATTTGGTAACAATTAACTGCAAGCTTGCTTGAATTTCTATAAAGCAATAAAGACACACTACCAAACTCTTAACTCTGTTTTAAATGACATTTCAAGGGTCATATTCAATATCAACAAGTGCTGGAAGACCAAATTACAGCTCACAATTTAGCATCACATTCTCAAACTTGGTTTCTACAAACATATCTATATGTATTAAGCTTATGTGTAACATGAGTCTCTTACTTCTGCTTCTAGTTCCTTTCTAATAATCAAGAAGTCTCTTAACCACAATCTCCCATTCCATCACAACATGAAAAATGACTGTTTCTAGTTTTGGAGCAAGCCAAAACAAATATGAAACTATGGATTCTGGTTTGTTTCAAAGTTGGCAACAAATGACAGACAAACAAACCAGGAGACAACTCTTATAGACTTCCAAATTAGCAAAAGCTACAATTTGTGTGGGTGTCTCTACATGTGCAGCCTATTCATTTATTTACAGTGGTGCCTCACTTAGCGATTGCCTCGTTTAACGATGTATTCGCTTAGCGATGAGGTTTTAGGAGCGATCTCGCGCTCCGTTTAGCGATGTTTCCAATAGGGAAATTTCGCATAGCAATGTTTGGGACCATGTCTTGCATAGCGATGACAGTTTGGGTGTCGGGTTTCAAAACGGCCACCAGCTGAAGAAAATGCCTCCACTCTGTTTTCTAGGATGGATTCCTCGCTTTACAGGCACCGAAAATGGCTGTCGTATGGAGGATCTTCGCTGGACAAGCAGGTATTCAGCCCATTGGAACACATTGAACGGTTTTCAATGCGTTTCAATGGTTTTTTTTATTTCGTTTGACGATGTTTTTGCTCTACAGCGATTTCGCTGGAACGAATTAACATCGTCAAGCGAGGCACCACTGTACAGACTGTAAACCAAGCCACAATGTTGCACATTAGTAATTATATAATTATTGATGGAACTGCACTGACATTTAAAAAGAACAAATTAAGCAATTTAAGACATCCTTAAACTTCTCGATGCACAGTAAAAAAACATTCTGGTTAACGCATCTACCACAGGTTGTATTCAACGCAAATACTCTTTTTTACTCCATATAGGAGTAATTCCTTTAAAAATTGCATAATTTAAACGAAGGATGAGTAAACAAACACTTTAAATGAGAGCCTATGGGAAATGGTGTTTCGCTTAGCGATGTTTTCCCATAGCAATGTTTTTTTGAACCAATTAACATCGCTAAGCGAGGCACCACTGTACCTGTATTGATTGCCCTATTAGCGCATAGCAATATTCTGAGTGGTTTAGATATTTTTAAAAAATGAAGTAATACAAAGAAAACAAAATATAAAAATCCAACAGCAACAAAAAATTGCCTTAAGTCCTGATGGTGGAACATACAGAGCAGCAGTACAGGAACAAAAATTCAAGAAATGCTGCCTTCAAAAGAGTTGCATCTTCAGCACCCTCTTAAAACTAAGGAGGGAGTCAGGCCTAGCTCCACTGGGAGGTGATTCCAAAAAGTTCATGCTACCATCAAGAGGGCCTGACCTCTTGAAGATTTCCTCCAGCAGTGACCCAGAGGAGCACAGCCTGAGAGGATCTGGTAGTGTGGGAAGATGACTTTGGGGAGAGATGTTCCGACAAGTAATGTGGTCCCTCTAGCCACTGGCCTCCCCTCAGTACATAATACTGAAAGATCTTTCATAGACTTTACTGGGAGTCTCAATAAAGGCTTGGAATTGGAAGCACAGCATGACAGAAAGAAACTAATTTAACAATATGTACTTTATTCAGAGCATGACCAACGTGTGGGTCTCCATTGGCATATGGTGGTCCATCATGAAGACAAAATTCTTGCTTTGTTTTTCTTTGTCTCTGCCATGAATACAGTTCTGAAAAGCCACATTTCTAAAAAACAAAAACAAAAACACACACACAATCAGCAGTCAGCATTTTGTGATTTAATACTTTCATCATGTTATGCAAAATAGTTAAGATAGCACAGATTTTCAAAAATGTAGACTTAGGAAGTTGAAATATGTTCTTAAGTTACCTTAACAACATAAGACTGATAGCTGAAGCCAACAGATATTAGATTGATGCCCAACACTTAAATGCGAGGGTTGGAAAGGAAAACGAACAAACATAACTAGGTATTCCCACTTAAAAACTACACTTGAAGGTTGATGGATCCACAGAAACCGCAGGGAATAGAGCTTCACGTGGAGAAGAGAATTAAAAGAATTTGGAAGGACTGCCCTACAGTTGTGTTCAAACTTATTCAACCCCCAATGCTGTAAAGGGGTTTAGGGACTATAGTGTACATTTGGAATTGTATTCAGAATGAAATCCTACAAGGACGTTTTAAAGAACCAAATGCAACTAAAATAGCATCAATTGTTTATGTAATACAGTAGTAAATGTTTCTTTTGTGGTTTCTTCATTGCCACAATTATTCAACCCCTTAAAGACTACCACTCTGAAGAAGAGAGGTTCATTCAGGTGTTTT